TTTACTTTCCCACAGGGCCTTGCAGCACATCCTTTGGCAATTGCTGCTTTAAAAAATACTACAGATATTCATTAGGGTCATCTAGTAGCACAATGTAATATGTACTGAGGAAGCTTATTCCTGTGGTAAGTGAGTTTTAGAAAGTTAACAGGGTAGTATATTTTATGAGAAGGTGAAAAAACAGAACTCCCATCAACAGCCTACAGGCAATGCTATCATATTGCTATTACACTGCAAACTGAAGCAGCTCAAGATCATTTTTGTGCTTAGTGCTACTGCAGGTGCCCTTTGCTGCCTGCAATTGTAGCTTTAACTGTGGAGGCAACCTGATGTGCCAAAAATGAGAAAATCTTCACAATCCATTGAATCCAGCCAAAGAACTGGTTTTCACCATTAAGATTTAAACATCCTGGATACAAATCTCATATTATTTTTATATATTTATTGGGCTATTACTAGATTTGTAGACAGAACTGAAGTCAAGCTGCATATAGAAAAATACATGGATTTGAAGATGCTCTTAATACCTCAAGCAGTGAGGGACCACTCTAGATTTGCCTTACCAACCTGCTTCCTAAATATAGCCAAGTCTGGTTAATTTGGCATTCAAGGGTAATGGCAGCTTATTAATGGTAAGCCACTCTCAGAGAGGTATTTTGTATGCCACCTCAAGACATACTGAAAAAACATTTTTACATTTGTAATTTTTTTTGTTTGAGGCACATGTTCTATTCATACCAGCTTGCTCTGAAAACTACGATCACATGGACACTAACAAATTCAGTACACTACTAGATGAGCATTACATTCTTATAAGAAAGTAAAATAATGGTATTTTTTTTTTGCTCTGTACTCTTACATTTCTTTGTAAGTGAAGACTACCCTTCTGCAAAATGAACTGGTTGTGTGAGGCTTGTCAAGCCAAGAAAAGCTGAAGAGTATCCAATATGTTGTAAACATCAGCTGGCTTCTCTATAAGATGAATAATTATCAGGAGCAAATTCCACTGTGATTTAGTATCCATGTACATACGGAAGTGACTCGAGTGCTGTATACATATCTAGCAGTGAAACTACTCCAGTGACTCATCGATTTTACTCATTAACTTACTAGTCAGGATTTATGCTATCCCTTATAGGCTTTAAACTGGTTTCTGGTTAATATACAATTCACAATCTGAAACCTCTCCTTGGGCTTAATCATGCAGGCCCTTGTGCTTTGGGCCAACAGCACAATGGCTAGCACACCTGCCCAGAAAGTGAAAAATCCAGGATCTATTTTCTGTACACGCCGCTCCTCCCTCCACACCCACTTGGCAGCAAAGAGCACGAGGACTGTGGGGCTTGAAGGACAGCAGACAGTGAATCTGATTCTTTAGAGCTGAGGGGAATCTCCTCAGACTTCAATTATTGAATAAAAATACCCACAGCTTTATCTGAATTCATTTATTGATAGGTAATAAGATATTCAAAAGGACTGTATACTAATGATCATCTGCTTCCAAAACTTAAGCCTTGTTTTTGACAGTCTTGCTTAGTATACACCATTCAGTGTTTGTCAGCAGATTTCAAATAAAAGCTTTAAACACATATACAATAATTAGCTACATATCAGCAGTAGAAACACCGAACATGAGTACATGAAGATGACTGCTGAAGGTTCACTCTCAACCAGACTGCCAGAGTCTCAAGATGTAACAGTGGAAGATACAAATACCACAGCTCATGTACTTTAACCACAAAGCAGCAAGCACAATAAGCTTTTCAAAAACTGCACAGAACTATGCAAGTTTTTTGTTTTTTTTAAAAACAGACCCAATAGTCAACTCCTTGATACCCAGAGTCAGATTTTCCAGGTACAAGTCCATCGCCAGCAATGGGCATGCCGGGGACCATTAGCAGAGAGGTTAAGCAGAAGCTAATAAAATAGGTCGGGTTCTAACTCCCTGGATTCAAGGAAACATTTTTTGTGGCTAGTTGCAGAATGCAAAACTCCTTAACTACTGTAACTTCAACTGCTTTTTCTCCATACTTCTAACCATCAACACATGCCACCACATCCAACTATCCTTTTCAAACACTTGTATCTTTCCTCACTGATTTGTTTGAAAGCTCTTCAGAACTTTTTAGATCCAAAACAAATATAAATTGGCCAAAAATGACGCACACAACAATAAATTACCACTATCCCATTTACACTATTAAAACCCCTCCCTAAAAAAAGTGTATTGTAAACTTATGTCCACCATCATACTGTGATTAATTCAGTGCCAGGTGCATATTGTTTTCCAGCTTATCCTCTTGTTAGCAATGAGACACAAAACTTTTGTTCTCACTAGCAGCAAGGAGGACATCAGCTCAGAAAGCCCATGTACAAGCTTCTGCAATTAGCATTCAATACATTACATGCCAAAAGTCAGACATTCTGCCCAAAGCAATATAAGCTGTCAGACAAATGTGTAACATGCACCATTTGGGATCTAATTTCTCAATACTTCTTGAAGGCTGACTTTGGAATCAAGGCAACAAGGATTGTCAAAGGCAGCCCCAGCTTGCTACAATTCTGTATGTGACTCCACCTAATGAAGGTTGCAAGCCATTTTTTCTTGCACCCTTTGCTATTAGAGAAATAATGCAACCGGAGAACTAACACAGAAACGTTTCCAAATTTAAACCTACCGTTCCCACAGCACTAAATCTAGAGCAATCCTATAAATTCCAATATCCTAGCAATTATCAGCGAGCTTGGCTAGAAAAAGTCTTAAGTGAAATGGCAAAAAGACATGATTACAAAGTTAATCATGCAGAACAAGGCAGGATACACTACATGTGGGTAACCAAGTGCACACTTATTTACAACTACATTTCGAGTTTGGAATACTGTTAGCTTCAAACAAGTGGCAAAATTAAATACTTCAGGGAAGAAGCACTGCTCAGTCAAAGTCACGGTTTGTAAGAACCAGTGGAGCAACCAGAGTCCACACATACAGCACAATCCCAATCCAGCTGGAAGAGATCTTCACCCAGACTGATGGCCACTTACTAGTCATTGTCTCATAGGAGGAGTCAGGACTGCAAGGAAAACACAAAAATGTCCAGTTAGAAACAAATTCCAGAACATGCAACTTTTGTTCTCTGAATCCAGCCTGATTTCACAAATCATTACCTAATGCTTTATTTCCTGATAGCTGACCCTTAGTTCAAAGTTTTAACCCCCTTAAGTAATGCCTGAGCACCACTGTAAAAAGTAACAGTTTAACTTGTCAGTTTACTGCCTCATTTAAACCAATTTTAAATTAGGATGTAAAAAACCAGTAAGCAAGGGAACCTTTATTTAAATAGTCTATTTTAATCTTGTTTTGTATTTGCTTTCTTTGCACTATATACAAAGCATTTGATTATCTATATAATATATTGGATTTGAGGTCACTGGATGCAGTAATAACCTAGTCAAAACAGCTACAAAACATATCAGGCATCACAAGTGAATTAACAGAAGTATATGGCAAGCAACTTAATGATAGTATTTGTGGGTGGATAGGAACTGGGTGGCATTTACTGACTCTGGAAGTCACTCTAGTTTGACTTGCAGTCCTACTGAAAGGGTATTCCCAACAATGCTTAACTTTTTTTTTTTGCATGCATGTCAAGAGTCTTTATAGTTATCTGACCTGAAAACCTACTATCAACTTCAGCAGATTCTCTGTGCTAGACATTTAATATTGCATTGAAAGGAAAAATCCCTTTTACAGAAATGCTGCCCCATAATTCATGTCTGTGTATACACAGACATACATAAGCACACTAAGAATAAGTACATAAAAAGGTAGTTTTCTGGTAAGTTTCAGAAAGTGGATACATTTCTCATTGCAGATCCCAGGTATCTTCACGACTGATTGCCAATTTTGCTGTCTGTACCTAGCACTGGTGTTAACTTTGGGTTGTGTATGCACATTTTTTTGTATTTTAAGACACACCACTTCTTGATTCTTGAGTATTCTGTGAAACCCAAAAGTTTCAGACCACATCCTGACTTTAAATGTGATTTAATATTTTAACAAACAAAATATTATTTATTAAATCTTTGTGAGCAGACAAACGAAACCCCTTTTTGTTCAAAGTTTGTGAACAAATCTGAGAGTTCCTACACTTACGATGCAATGGACTGGGTCACAGATAAAACTAGGCTCTACCATCCTCATAGTTAGTAACTTGCTCTAAGATTAGCTTCACTGAGCAAACAGGATTACTCTGGTATAGTTAAGAGAACCAATGCTACTGCTATAAAATAGAAGCTTACGTTTGTTTTCAAAAACAATTAATTTAATATACAGTAGAAAATGCTACGAACCTTAAGAACCCCCATAATAGCACACATACCAAACGGGAGATGGATCTTTTTCAAACCATCTGAAATTATAACACTCCTCCAAAATTGTAGTGCCCTATTGTTCAACCCAAGTACATTTTATTAAATGCA